CAAAAGAAAAAAAAAGCCAGAGGGATAAGTGGTATAGTCTTCTCTCTCTAACTCCCATGCGGCCCCAACCATCCCTCATGTGTTCTTCATTACATCCCCAGTGCAACTCCTTATTAGCTCTGTGCTGGTTCCTGGCTTCTGATTGCTGATCTCTCTGTATCTAATGATCTCTTTCTTCTCTATATTTCACAGACTCCTACTTTGGCCAAGGTCTAGCCAAAGAGTAAAAATACAACACAGTAATTTGGACAAGAAAAAATTAATGTGAAAATTACTGTATAATAGAAGGAGATTATCTATTAAAAGGGGAAAGGACTCTAAAGAATGTAGGAATTGCACATGTAAGGAGAAGCTCTCAACTCCAGGACCAAGGCAGACTCCCAAGGAAGGAACACATTGGCACAGGCACACTCTGGATCCCTCCAGCCAGAACTAAGATCCAGACCTCATTGGGAATGTGCAGCTGTAGTCTGCCGAGTGGTGGAGAAGTTTGCAAAGGTGCCAGAGAAAAACTATTGCTAAGTGGTAAAATACCTACCAGGATCCAGTACAATTTACAAAAAGCTGGCAAAGGTGTGCTGCTGTACTTGCTTGGGTGCTTATGAAGACTTGCCAAGAAACCATCCRGAGGACTGTCACACACCTGCTAGAGGGGCACATCCCTGGGAGTCCCCGGCTAGCCAAGTACTGCAGGGTGGACAAGAGAACAGGAAACACATCAGCACCAGAGAAAGAAGCCTCTTTTTCCTTCAGTGTCCTTCCAGACACAGTTAAAGACAAAGCTCCTTATCATACCAGTTGGCAAAGGAGAAACAATTACAGGGTCCACATCCCATATAATAAAAAGGGAATGATGGACAAATTTAGAGCTAGGAGAAAATTAATTGGTAATTGGCCAACCACATCCCTCTGGCTGATCTTTCATATGCATCTCTATATACACATCTGCTCATCCCAATAACAGTGAATTGTAGTTCCACTTAACAAGCTAAAGAGGTCTCTGAACAACTGAAAAAGGTATTTTTCCTCATTTTCCCCAAAAATGAGGAAATCCATAGTCCCAACATTCACTGTATGAATCTCTGGCTCTAAAGTCACTTTTAAAATTCAGAAGGAGTTCTACATACAGACTACATTGTAAAGTTAGTTACCAGTTATCTGCATAAAAAATAATTATGYTGGGGGAAAAGAAAGAAAGGAGGAGGATAGAGGAGAAGGAGAAGAAATATATACAAATAGGAACATATAAATACAATGAGCAAAGAGAAAATAGAAAATATACTATTTTCTGTTCTGCCTGTGGGTCGCAGGTCCACCTACCCTGCAGGCGTGGGCAGCGGCTGCGCCCCTCCTCCAATTGAGTCTGCAATTGACATAGACTATAT